CCCCCAGTCGCGGACATGAGTGTTGCTGGACGTCAGGGTCATGGTCACTGGTGCCTCTGGGCGGTGTCACCACGGTGGGATGGCGTACCTCCCCGCGGTGCCTTTTGTCCAGACCCAGGGCGGCATGTGCGATCGGGCTGGCAGGAGATCCAGCCGCATCAACCGTGCCAGCGCCAGATCCAGCCATGCCAGTGCACCCCGGCACGGCACGCTGGCACGCTCGCGCTCTCGTCCTAGAGCGCCACAGGACACACACGTTCAGAACAGGGCGCCGACGGCGACATCGGCCGCCATCGGAGCGCCGGCCGGCACGGCACGACTTCCGGCCGACGGCCGCGAACGGGGGCGTCCGTCCGCGACCGACGGCGCGGTGCCGCCGCTGACGCTGAGCGTCTGCCGTCCTTTGGACCTGTGTTTGTTCCTCCCTTGAACGGCTTGGAGCGCCGTGGACGCTTAACGTTGACTGCGCCGGAGACGCAGCCCCTCAGCGCTGGCAGGCCACTCTGAGCGCCACTTTTCAGTTCGCGCGGGCTTCTGAGGCCGCTGCGCTCTGCACCGCGCTGGGTGCGTCCAGCCTCTCCTCTCGGCGTGCCGTTGCGGCAGCTTACGTTGGCTGCGTGCGCTTACGTTGGCTGCGTGCTGGGCTGCGCTTATATCCGTCTCCACCCGGCGCTCTTCCTCTGTTATGTGGGCGCGGCGGCGGCGGCGCGTGGCGGCCACCGACCGCCGCCTTGCGCTCGCTACATTTCAGTGACGCATGCTGTCACTTTATTAAGGCTGGAACTAAAAAAGATCCACATAGCAGACGTGCTCGTCTCAGACTCTGTTACTCCACTGAAACGCTCACCAGTCGATTTAGCGCGATGGAATGAGTTATACGGAGGCAATATCGTGACCGAGCATTTTTGTAAACACCTTAAAAACTCCAACGGAAAAATCCCGTGGAAAAGCACACAACTCAGATCTCAGAATAGATTGCTTCGATCGCCGCCAAACCTTTAACATTCGTCCCTCCATATTAGATTCGCCTTGCAGTTGTGAAGCAATGGCCCCACGCCGGGCCAAAAGTTATCTATTTTCACGACTTCCAAAATTAGCTATGCAGCGATTGATTGACGTCTGATTATCTCCAGATATGGTGACATGTTTGAAAATATTCCTGAGCTGGGGCATAGTGAATCTAAGAAGGTATTTCAACCAGCTTGTTTTTACTGAGCAGCAGCTTTCGGGGTTATCTTCATCCCTTCCCCAACCTCTATCAGGCAACGATACGAAAATCAGGTTCACGTACGCATTAAGAGTCCAACTGAAAACCTGAAAAAGTTGTACGCAAATTAACATACCCATCTATTTGAGGTAAATCAATTCAGATAGTTGGCCAGATTAATATGTCAGCCGCAGACATCAATGCGTTCACGAACCGATGCATTTTCAGTGCAGTTTTGGTAGAATTTGACCATGGCACATGAAATCGAACTGACGCGTCGCAATAACTGATTTACTTGCTCAGTGTCTTCATTTTCGCGTCGACACAACAGCGTCTTATACTGCGTGTCACTATATCAAAACAAGACACCGCAGACGTGTACAAATTGACCTCACCCAAAGCCCACCAACGCAACCCGTATTGCACATCACCATCGAGAACTGCTTTCTTTCTGTTCTAGTCCCAACCTCTTAAAATTGCATGTAAAGTCGGCATTGGCACCCCCTGTTCTTGTATTCAATAGTTCGTCATTGGTAGTTCTAGAAATAGATACACGCTCTAATCTTGCTCGTTTCTCCAGTGTGTCTCGTAGTGTAAAATAACCCTCTCCTCCCACGCGATGCGATGTCTTGGCTCTCAATGTGTGCCTGAACCTGTTATTCGTATCGTTGTGTGACTATGGCCGTTCCGAGTCGGGCCCTTAGCAAGATGGGTGCACTGAGAGCCTGTTCATCTATTGGGATCTCAGGTGCACCCCAGCTTTGTTCCAGACATCCTCTATAATGCCCCTTTAGGTATTGGGGATGCCCACAACATTGAATGTAAGCCTATGATTGTCAAACTCTGCAACAAATGATAAGAATAAATTGTAAATTATAGTTGCACCTGCCCGGAAAAATAAATCATGATTAAACCAAGCGTCCGCCTTTTTACTGGTGCACGCCCTGGGAGTTTGATACGGCTGCGGGCTCGTTCTCGGAGTTGAGTTGTCTGTTTTTACACGCGACACTTTCCGTCCGCCTTTTTAAGATGTCTGAGGTTAGGCAAAATCACGATATTGCCACCTCCATGTTCGTATCATCACGCCGAATCAATTGATTGAATTGAAGCTTAGATTGAGACTCAGATTTCTAGGAGTCAGTTCCATGATCAGACTCGTGCGTAGTGAGTATAACGAAACTACATGGAATCGGACCTGAAACTAAACGTTATAGGTCTCGCGAATAGGACTGGGATATATGACTGGTGGCGACGATGCAATGGGAACCCAGACTGGAGCGTGGCACACCTGGACTCGGACTCGGTAGTGGACTCGGGGTTTTTAAGCAGGCCCGTACCAGTAGCATGTACAGATCAGCTGAGGAATGCCCCGGCTGCTCTATATCAAAGGCGCCAACAGCGCTCCATTAGAGCAACGTCCGTGGTTAAAAGGAACTTGGCGGCTTGCCGCTTTCTGATGGCTTCTATGCGTGTTTCTTCAGGTTAGGGACCTGCTGCCAACGACAACAGCTGCGGAGTGCCCTGTAGATTAATCGAGGTGACAGTTGTCTCTTTGTGTTTTTGTTTTGATTCTGCCCCAGTGCTTTGCAGATGCTTAAACTCGGAAAGCAGCTGGTTCTCACTCGTGGGTTTCTCCGGGACATCACGCTCAGTACATTCCCTGCTGCTGAGATGGGGCTTCCGGCTGCCGCGAGCGTATCAGTGCTGAACAGCAAGTCTTTCTTGGTACCACTGTCACGGCATCCACGTACTGTGCTACTCCTTTTTTCCACATGCTTCGTGACTGGCGTGCGCGGTGCACGCCGCCAGTTAGCGGCCACAACACGTCCACCTGCTGCACACAGTGTCTACCGCACGTGCACCCGCACGCATTGCTCGTGCTTTGGGCCGCGATCGGTCCAATGGGTCGGCGCCGACGCCTGGGCCGTACCTGCGCTGCGGCTGCGGCCCCGGCCATACCGGCTGCCGGGTCAGCCCTGTCTCCTGAGCACCAGGCACCTGTCGCCGGGCGGCAAAGCCCTGTCCCAGTTTGGCGGCCACCTACTGATGGGTCGCACAGCCCTGTCCTGCCCCAGTGTGACGGCCATCTGTCGATGGATGGCACAGCCACGTTCTGCCTTAACACGCGCCCGGGTGGCCGGCTAGATACCCTTCGCTCGGGTGGGGGGTCAATTTGGCCCCCATGAGATCTCTGGAACTGAGATAGCTAGAGACACTAAATTCACAGGGTGTATTGACCTGTATGTGAACTCACTTTGATCGAAGTTTCAGGTTCCTAGGCCATGAGCTTTCGGGTCAAAAAAGGTCAAACAAGATCAAGTTCCAGGATGGTCTCCAAAGTGCCCCCAGAAGCTAGATAGCCGCTTCTAAGCAAAAGGTCACATTCTCATTCAAGGTCAGTGACCTTGTTTGACCATTTGAAGGTCAAGGTGGCCAAAATTATATAAGATTGCTTTGAGTTTTGCATTTGACTAAGCGACAAAGATTACGCTAGGCAGTATATTCCTAAAACAAAATGTTGACCTGGCTCATTTTAGGTCAATAACCTATTATAACCTCTAAGAAGTCCATGGAAGATGTATTATGCGGTTCCTGCTATCAATAAACCCGAAATGAGCACCAGAAACTATCCCATACAGCAAGCCCCGGAGTAACAAAACGGGTTGGTTTTGACATTGGTGTGACCTTCATACCTGACCTTAGGTCAATTTAATTTGCTTATTCAACTGTTGCGTTGCCTGAGAAAGCATCTCAGAGATGTATGGCTTCGTCTAGTATTCCGTTGTTGGATCAGATTTAAGGATTCCCTCGAAATTGCTTTCGCTGAAACCATGGCCTGACTTTGATCTGCCATAGGTCAGCGACCTTACAAGGTATATATAAATGTTTAGATTTCAAACGATCAGCTGTTCAATTTTCTACAGCTATGCAACATTTGGCGCGGCTACGCCGCGCCGTTCGAGAATCATTCCGGAAAAACCTTTGGGGGGGCCAATTTAATCCCCACCCGAGCGCGTGTTAATATAGTAGCCACCTGTTGATGGTTGGCGCAGCCCTGCCCTGCCTCAGTGTGGCGGCCACCTGTCGATGGACTGCACAGCCATGTCCTGCCCCAGTGTGGCGGCCACCTGTCGATGGGTTGCACAGCCATGTCCTGCCTTAATATGGTAGCTATCTGTCGATGGATGGCACAGCCCTGCCCTGCCCCAGCATGGCGGCCACCTGTCGATGGACTGCACAGCATGTCCTGCCTCAGTATGGCGGCCACCTGTCGATGGACTGCACAGCCATGTCCTGCCTCAGTATGTGGCGGCCACCTGTCGATGGACTGCACAGCCATGTCCTGCCTCAGTATGGCGGCCACCTGTCGATGGGTGGCACAGCCATGTCCTGCCTCAGTGTGGCGGCCACCTGTCGATGGACTGCACAGCCATGTCCTGCCTCAGTGTGGCGGCCACCTATCGATGGACTGCACAGCATGTCCTGCCTCAGTATGGCGGCCACCTGTCGATGGACTGCACAGCCATGTCCTGCCTCAGTGTGGCCGCCTGTTGATGGGTGGCACAGCCATGCCCTGCCTCAGTGTGGTGGCCGCCTGTTGATGGGTGACACAGCTTGCCCTGTCCCAGTGTCACCAACATCGACAGATGAATGGCTTGGCTGGCCCTGAGGCTGTGGTGCCAAGAAGCTGCTTGCTGTTTGCTTTCACCTTGCTGGTCAGGGCTCATTGTTTAGACGTGTATTAGTGGTCTCAGAGAGACTTTTCCGTTCACAGGGCTTATTTGATTTTCAGTCTTGACAGTTATCTGACCTTGGACCTTATAGAGAAGAAGATACAAGAACTGGTGTACGATGCCAACCAATGGCCAACATTCAATGAAAGTAAGTTCACTGACTTTTTTAGAGTCATGGGTCCTCACCACGTGTGCCTTCGAGCCGAGTGACACGTATGCGCCAGCTTTTTGCTAAGCATGCACGGTTGAAGTGCAGTTATATTTTGCAGGCATTGCGTAGAATGCTTGGTGTTGAGCCACCCAGTAGCATACTACAAGTTACGAGAATAGCAATAATCCCCACGATTAAAAATGATTTGAAAGCTTTTCAACGTCGGCATGAATGCGCAAACGTTGACGTAATGTCGCAGGGTCTTGACAAGCTGACAACAGGAGCTATCGGGGTCGGCATCGCCCTGGTTTACTTACGCTAAGATTCGACCGCTAAATTAAGCCATATTTTTGAGAACGTGCGCCATTGTTCTGCATGTATGTTTTCAGTCATGTTGTTGGTGCCACTCTATCCAGGTCGCGTGCTTTAGCTGCTTGTCATGCCTTCAGTTAAGCTGACTCACATTGCGCGATCTGGTCCACAGTCTAGACATTTTTTTTAAAGCAAACAGCCATTGGGTATGGTTCGGACGAACCACGATACGAACTAGTTCTCAGTGAGAACACCAAAACAGATAACACGAGCTGTCCCTTACAGCAGTTTGACTGTGTACAAATCACCATGTGTTGTGGCCAAAGCCTTCCGAGGCGATCACATTTCGTCGGTATGCCGGATGTTCGTATTAGCGAGCCCGTGAGCGAGCGTGGCTCCGATGCCGGTCCCGTGAGCGAGCACGGCTCCGACGCCGGCGGTCTGGCGGTGCCGGTCCCGTGAGCGAGCGCGGCTCCGACGCCGGCTGTCTGACGTTGCCGGTCCCGTGAACGAGCGCGGCTCCAACACCAGCCCCGTGAACGAGCGCGGCTCCGACACCGGTCCCGTGAGCGAGCGCGGCTCCGACGCCGACGGTCTGACGGTGCCGGTCCCGTGAACGAGCGCGGCTCCGACACCGGTCCCACGAGCGAGCGCGGCTCCGACGCCGGCGGTCTGGCGGTGCCGGTCCCGTGAGCGAGCGCGGCTCCGACGCCGGCGGTCTGACGGTGCCGGTCCCGTGAACGAGCGCGGCTCCGACACCGGTCCCGTGAGCGAGCGCGGCTCCGACGCCGGCGGTCTGACGGTGCCGGTCCCGTGAACGAGCGCGGCTCCGACACCGGTCACGTGGGCGAGCGCGGCTCCGACGCCGGCGGTTTAACGGTGCCGGTCCCGTGAGCCAGCGCGGCTCCGACACCGGTCCCGTGAGCGAGCGCGGCTTCGACGCCGGCGGTCCGACGGTGCCGGTCCCGTGAGCGAGCGCGGCTCCGCGGGCGGTGAGCTCACGGCGCAGCTGGATCGGGTGGAGCAAGCACCTCGCTCGCCAACGGCGCTGAGCGGTAACACACGGCCCCGCCCCTCTCGCCCCCAGCCAGGCCCACCATCGTCCAGGTGGAGATCTTCGTCAACAGCTTCGGCGCGCCACGAGCGGCGACTATGGTGAGTTGGAGCAGCCCAGCGGCCCGCGACGCCTGTGCGGCCCTGGGTGTGTCAGCGTCTGGTGACATTGCTGTCAGATGGCGTCACACACGTGAGGTGTGACCCGGCTGACGATGATGATGATGGCGCCAACCGACGTCACACATGTGACATGTGACGCGGCTGATAATGATGAAGGTGGTGTCAGTTAATGCTCGCCGAAGGATCGAAGGCAGCCTGACGGCTGTGAGGTGAGCCGCGCTGCGCTCACGTCTCGTATTGCATGCTTGCGGTCGCACTTGATGCCGGTGCGCTCCGTTCAATGCGGCTGCTACTTCTTGAGCGACATCTTTGCCAACAGTTCCTTGCGTGGATGCTTATTTTCATCCTTGCGGAAATGTTCGCGGGTGGACAGAAAGCCGGAAAGTAAGCAAGCGAGAATCATGCTGATGCTTGTTACCGTGATCTCGAGACCGAGGGCGATTAACTGATGGTAGGACGGCCGGAGCGCGTGCCAACGCGTCACAGGTCAGATTCGTCAGTCCATCTGGCAGCTTCCGCAGTGCGTGAGCCCATGGCACCATTCCGCAGCACCTGCCGCTGGCGGGCCAAAGCAAACATCTACGCTGCACTGCTGCAGCAGCTGCCCGCCACATGCGCGGCACGCAGCTACAGTCACGTGTGCAGGACACACGCGCTTTAGGCATGTAACATCTGATAAATGGATGGGATTTTAGCTGATAATTGCATAGAGTCAAACAGACATGCATGTTATGTCTCAAATGGCTCAAACGCGATAAAGATGTCGCATGACTATGGCATTGTTGTCTTTTACTGTCATGGTACAAACAACTATGCAAGGGCTCTTGTGCATTACTAGTTTCTGGTGAGGCAATCAGCTTACTCAGGTTGAAGGGAACCGCTGTTGACCGTGGTCCGTTCCTTGTTGCCGCAGTATCTGGCACCTGCCTCCCGCACAGGTATGGCAGTGGACGGAGCACACACAGGCTCGCTGAATCCCAATTGTCACGAAAATACTCTAAAATCCACAAGGTCAAGAGCAGTCACAGGGAGTACAAGCTGCGCACTTTTTTGCGATGTACTTACCAATCTCAGACTCTTGGCCAGATTAGTTTCCTCGTAATGTGATCAAAGAACAAATTTTAAGATTCTTACAACCTATCGTGTCCCACAAAAACGGTGCTATGACAGAATTAATATTTTGCCTTATAAACCAAAACGCTCCTCACATATTTCCCAAAAAAATCGAGGTGTAGTGCGGCGGAGTGTTACTTCCCAGGTCATTTAAGTGGAAGTATCCCAGTGGCCGGGCGCAGGCCAGTCCGAAGTCGGTCGGAAGGCAGAGAGGTTTCGGGAGGGATAAAATCCGAGCGGGGACTGTGCGATCGTCGGATGCTGCCAAGATCGCAGCGTCCTGTCGCGACGTCTGGCGCCTTCCAAGGCAGGATTAGTGATGAGTCTAGCCAGTGCGGAGGATGCTATTCACGGCTGGGACATCACGTTTCGCGGGTGACCAGACTGGAAGTCGACTGCCCATCGCGTAATGGTGTTGGTAGTAAGTCTTGGCGGTCTAGTAAGGCAGCTGATTAAATAGCTGCATGAATAATTGTTGGCATCTTATCAGTGCATGCTATTGCTCAGATAATAAGTGTTACCATCAACGCTAGAAAACAGGTCTGGCGTAGGTCATGTGTGTGACTGCCTGCAAAACTACGTTAAACCATCCATCGTCTGACAGAAATGCGCTCGCTTTATTTCTCTCTACCCCTCAGTTTTGGAATGGAGGGCCCTTTTGCAGACACCGATCGAATTGATAACAAAGGGAGTTTTAATTACTGCGTAGAGATAAAAAGCCAATATTTCCCCCCTCAAACCTGACCTTTTAAGAAAATGGCCAGAATTTTACACTTGGAAGGATCTAGGATTGCAGTGCTGTATTCGCCCTTCGCAAGTCCACGTGCTTCCCTTGGGCTGCTGATGCGGTGTGGGGACAGCCGTCGGTAGCCAGGCTACAGGGGGACAAAATGATCGGCCGTCAGTACTGAGAGTTGATGGACAAGACAAATCACATGCATATGTTCATAAAATATTCGCGTTGATGTTCGCTGCCAAACGGACCGTTCCTATCACGTTTGGAATGGCTCGTTAACTCAGAGGCCTGTCATGCGGCGTGACACGTGCAGAGGTTTGTCGGTTGAGAGGCTTGTCATGCGGCGTGACACGTGCAGTAGTTTGTCGGTTGAGAGCACTGTCGCATACTGCATGGCACGTTGCCAACGACATGAATAATAGTTTGAACAGAACGACGAATGACGAACCAAAACTTAAATGCTGCTTTACAATAGCTCCGTGTTCAACCAAACTATAATCGTAAGATCGCTGTTTACGTGCATACTTTTACAAGCGCAAATGCAGCATGTTTACCAAATGATAATGTGTTACAATTTAAGGCCATTCAAAAATTGTTATAGCTTTTGCTAAGCCTTTTGAGCTTAACTACTGTTATCAAAACATTACTTACATTACTGCTTACATTTTTACTTACATTAGTACGTAAACTTACATTATCAAGCACGTTAGCTTTAGACCGCCTTGCTTTCCACCGTGCTGAATATGGTGCTTATGTTGTTACCACAGCACCACAAGCACGAGCGGAGCGGTTTCTCATCCCGTCTGACTCATTCATCAGCATCCTAGCCATCTATCATTCGAAAACAGAGCGCGTCTTAGTTGATAAGATCTTACGACCTTTTTTGGCCCTTGTTGGCCGGGATGTGTGTGGTCTTCGGTCGCGTGTCCGGACATATCGGCGACGCCGGGAGCAATAGGGCCGACGCTGCGGCAAATGAGGGAGCAGCCGGACCTCACTTTTGCTCCTCCCGAGCGGCGGCTTTCTGACCTCAGGCAGGTGTTGTCAGGTCGCTTAGAGACAGATTGACAAAAAGCATGGGGTTGGACAAGTGCTGACGATCAGGGAAATATTCTGATGATTTGGGCTTTGGGGCGCACCCACTACGTTGGTCATGTGGCATCAGGAAAATATGCGAAGCAGGCTGGGGACTATGAAGTCAAACCGAGGTGAATAACAGTCTTCTTATTAAGAAGAGGGAAGATCAGCCCCCGCCGCCTCCGTACAGGTCACGCATCCTGACACACGGGGTTCTCCTTTCAGGAAGAGCACTGTCATGCCCTCGTTCTGATTACGCGTTGCTCATGATCTCGTGCACAGCCCGTGTTCCGCCCCCGAACGATATCGCCACTTTGGTCGCCACCAGCAGCTGAGATTGACCCTGCGTTCACTCACTGGCGAGGACCCCCTCCCCCACTGACACGAGAGTCCATGAAGCATTTCCCCCCGACATTGCCCCTTCTCCCCTCCCAAGATCGTTTACCCACGTTTACAACATCTTCTGTCGCACGACTCGCACGTTGAAAGCATCCTGGTGTACTGGGTTCATGTGAGCAGCACGTTAACCATCGTGGTTTGCCGATGCGTGCGAGATCCCATGCACTTGGGTGCGGCATGCACGTGTTTAGATCGTTCTTTTGCTTCCAGGCTCTCTTACCTCCTGTACCTTTGGGGCACGATTATCAAAGTCAACAGCAGTGACTGCATATTACATGCAACGCGACATGGTTCTACAGATACACGTATGATCATAATTAGGCTGCAAAATGACATTTGGCGCCGGCGCGCCCCTAGGCCTTAATAGCTAACACCGCAAGCGATTGGTTAATACCTGCTCACCGGTTGACTACATCCCGCGTTGGGTCGTAACGCCGAGCTCCTACTAGTTAATCAGCTCCTACCGCCCGCTGGCTGCCGGCCCGACGGTAACTGAGCCGAGTCGGCGGCCTCCGCCGCGGACAAGCGCGGCCAGACGTGGCGGCGCATATGGCGCCCCAGACGAATGGCCGCCATCGCCGCCGCAATGCTGGGAAGTGACGTCCACTGCAGCTGACACCTACCCGAGGGGGGTGGGGAGGAGGGGGAGCAGGCAGGCCGTGAAAGGTCTGCGCCATTAGGCTCTGATGTTGCAGGGAAATAAAGAGTAGCAAAGCATGACCTGCTTTTTATGCCCATCGTTGTCCACGTTTCTCTGTTCCCTGCAACTGGTCAAATTAGCCCCGGTGCTTGCAGGAGACATTTGTTATGTGAACCGCCATGACATGCCTACATTCGGAACAAACGAGTGAATGCAGTAACAGTGGACAATTCATCGACCTTCCAGGTTTACATTGAGAACATACTGCAGCTGCGCATTGTTGCAGACCGTGGCACCCCTCTGAAATATTCATCAGCGCTCTGCCTGCAAACAGGACAACGACCGAATCGATTGCGGTGACGGCCCATCGTTCCGTCGTGTGCATCGGCTGTCACGAACCCGACGCGCCCCGCGGCCTGGCGCTGCATCAAGGCGTGCCCTCTCATAGTACATAGGAATGTTGGTATATTTTTATCCTCCTTTGACACTGGAATTCATTTTTTGTAACCATAGAGGCTGTAGCTGGGTTTCCAACACTTATATAGCCGTGATATAATGGTCGGCAGCTGAACGGAGCCGGGTCGTGGTGATGGCGGCGCGTGAGCCCTCAGCGTGCTTAGCTTTGCCATCAAACATCCTAAGTGTTTGGTGTCTAGAGGTCCGGTGCGACGAAATGTTATATATATATATATATATATATATATATATATATATATATATATACATTCCTTGCTGCTGCGATAAGTTCAAACGATTCGAAGCGGATCCCCTCGGCCTGTAAATGGACCATTTCGCAGCAAGCTCCAGGTGCAAAGTACCACCCGCCGACAAATCATAGATGACAGTAGATAGCCTGATTCCTGAATTCCTTGCGACGGCACGAATCACAGACCAGTAATACCGCTGGGCTTGCAAAGGGGAGAAATGGTCGCAGTGAATCGCGTCACCTAACCCTCTGGGGTGGGTTTGCTCACGCCTCACCACGTGTATGGATCCAATCTGGCCATAGTGCAG